CAAACTTCTTAAATTTATTTAATAAACATCGTTCCCTTGTTGTTAATTAAATCCAGAATTTGGGTGTCGTTTATATAATTATTCTTACTTGTCCACAGAACCTGCTGACTTATCCAGCCATTAAGTAGCTGCAGATCATTTCTACATAACCATCGAACTTCAATTAATTCGGTCTCTAGAGGGTTGTATGTTTATATCATAATTTGACTTTTATAAAAATGATTATTCTAAATCTTATGTTTCTATAAAAATATAGTGTGCTTTAAAAATATGGATGATAGTATCAGCTGCTCTTTCAGCCACTTCAAGCAACAGCTTGTTTAGAAATAAATTATGCAGTTAATGTCATGAAATATTTTCGTAAAATTCAAATAAACATCAAATGAAAGTTCTCAGTTTTAGAAAATTCGATTTAAATGAAGTTAAAGTAAAGTAGTAGACGATAAAAAGCCGAAGATAAAAATTTATTCTTACAAATATTTTTTTTTTAAAAAGGAAGAAAGAAAGAAATTTAAAAAAAATAGTTAAAGATTTGAATAATATCATCCATAATTTAAAAAAAAAGCTTTCCATATAGTATTAATAAATATTTATTATGCATCATTGAGGGGAAAAATTTCATATAATTAATTCTCCATAAACTTTTACTTGAAATTTAAGGTTAAGTATAGCTGTGGCAATTCACTGTAACAAAAATCCATAAACCACATTTGGCGTTATTATCGCTCAAAAAAAAGATGCCAAATTCTAAAACGTGAAAATATGTAAATTCGTGTATATCTTAGAACTTTTGAATTAAAAAGTCTAATTTTTTTGCAGGTATGCTTAGAAATACACCTACTTTAAGATGATGGTAAAAATTTTATAGGTTATAATTCAAAATTTTTTCGAAAAATTTATGAAAATTATTTTAAAATAGAAATTTAAAAAATAAAACACAAAAAATGGGTATATTTTGTTTAAAATAAACCTAAATTTCAAAATGTGAAAGGAAAAATCAAAAAAGTTTAATAAAAAAAGAGATATTAATAAATATTTGCCAAATTCAATTAACACTGAGGAACTAAAATTTTGAGAGCTAATATTTTAAAAACTACTCGTAGGATTTTTACAAAACTTGGCATTCTGGCATAATTTGAGTCGTAGAACCGAAATATGTAAAAGAATTGGTATGTTATTTCAGAAAAAGTCCGATTTTGTGTAAAAATACCTATGTTAGAATAGTGCTATATATAAATCTAATATATATCCGAAGTCGCGCTTTCGAGACATGAAAAACACAGTTTGAATTTTGGCAATCGGCCCAGTACAATGGGAGATATAGCACTGCCCCCCCTTTTTTTTGAGCAGTGTACATGGATTAAAAAAAAAAAAAAAAAAACTTTTAGGTAAATATTAAGGTTATTTTTTTAAATAAGGCTAATTTTCAATAAAAAGAAAAATAGTGTAAAAATCATTAAAATATAGTTTACCCCATATTCTACGTATTTTCATGTGCTTTTCTACATAATTTCTATCTTTGTTCAAATGTAAGTTTTTTAATTCGGATGTCAAAGAACTTTGCTACTTTTGAAGAAGCTCACTCCATGAATGCACGACTCCAATTTTCACTTCTTCATCATTGTTGAACCGTTGACCACGAAGGATCTCCTTTAGGTACCAAAAGAAGTGAAAATCACTTGATGTAAGGTGGGTGATCCAGTTGTTTCCATCCAAAAGATCTGATTAGACCTTGTGTTTATGCAGAAACACATGACCTTGCATTGTAATGAAGTAACATTACACCAAAAGACAACAGGCCTCACCACTTGTTTTGTATGGCATGCCTGAGTTTTTTCAAGATCATGCAGTATGCATCAGACTTGATTGTTGTGCCTTCTGGCAAAAAAATCCAATAACGAAATTCCAAAAGACAGTTGCCATAACCTTTCTCACTGAAATGTGTTTGGCTTCCTCTGTGGTTGGCGACGATGTGTGTTGCCATTCCATTGATTGTTAGACCCTGGAGTCATATGAGACACCCAAGTCTCATCTTCTGTAACTCTGTGGTCCAAAAATTCATTTCCTTCCTGACTGTATCTTGTCAAAAACAATAAAGCACAGCCCAAGCATTTTATTTTATGATCATCAGAAAGCAGTCTTAGAACCCACTGACAACATAATTTTCAATAATTCAATTTCTTCTAAACAGTGGTGTATACAACTGACCTTGAAACCTGTAGTAAATCACTTGATAACTTTGAAATTGGGAATCATTGGTCCTTTAGAATTTTGTTATCCAGATCATGAACAAAATCTTCAAAAATCGGAGAAGATAGGCCATAGCATGGTTCATCATGCTTATTAGTCTGCCTGTCCTTTATTATCATCCTCTTTTGAACTTTACTGTCACTCATAGCATTCTCAGATAAGCTTCACAGATCTGGTGGTGAGTTTCTACTGCTGCCAACTTTCTTGCACTCAAGAATCGAATTACATATTGTATCTCACAATCAGCAGGTGACTCAGTTTTCTTAAACATTATAAATTTCTACAGCTCAGAACACAGCAGACGGTACTGTTGGAAATGGTTCCTAGATGCATTTAGGTATGGTGGGAGCAGACATGAATACGTGTAGTGACAATTGCACATCACTGTCATTCTCAAACAGACCTTATTTAAAAAATAATCTATGTATTTATGGTCAGACTTCCATTGTTGGATGGTACTTCAGTAGATATTTCTCATTAGTGCACAATTTCTCGGACCCCAGACACTGAAAAAAGCAGAGCAATGCACATCCATATAGTTCCTTTTTCCCATTTCTTCACAATGGGAAAAAGACTTGAGTTCATATGCGTATGTGTTGACAGAAAGTCTGATTACATATGTGCATGTGAACAGAAATTAATTTTCCTAATATTTTCAGCTTATGGAAAACGAACTCTTATTTCAAAACTCCATTATATTTCATGTGTTTCAAAACAGAAAAAATTCTTAAAGTTTTGTATCTTATTTCAATATAAATAATGTGTCCACAAAAGTTCTTTGTGTGAAAGTTAACAAACACGCTCAACTCATTTGTATGAGTATTTGGCTTTGTGTGGAAAAATTTTATCCGTATGTGTATAAAAGAATTGTGTTTGAATAAATTTTCTTCATGATATGTAACAAACAAATATTTTAATTCATATTCCTAGTTTATATACCTCTATATTTAGGATCACAAGAATGTTTGCTTGGAAATAAGAGGTTGCCAAGTGTAAATGTTTGAGAAGTCCTGTTCTAAATAATATTTGCAGGTTTCAGTACTGGCATATAGCCAAATTGTAACATTATTTAAATAAATTAAGATAGAAAAATATATAGTAATGAATTTTTTATATGATGAACCACTTGTGCGACCAATCATAAAAAAAAGTTATAAAAAAGAAAAAAATATGTAATGATTTTAATAAGTTCGGCTAGCATAAGATCATAAAAATATTTAATGTTTTTTTAATTAGATATATCATGAATTAAATGCGTTTTATTTAAACCAAACAGATTATAAAGTAAAATAATACATATATATATGATCAGCATTTGAGAGAAAAAGATTCATTGGGATGATAAAACCTGGGTGGTCAGTTTGGAGAAAATCACATTCCCTAGGTCATTCTGATATCATTGTGGGGAGTTGTTGGGATTAGTGAATGAAAGAGAAATCACACATATGGCAGATAATCTCAGGATGCTTTCGGCAGACCAACAGACAAGAGGATCGTTACATTACCCAACACGTACATGTAGCGCCATCTGCTTCATTGTCCTCCAACTGGACACAAGCAGCAGTTTCAGTATATGCGCTTGTGTCTGTCAACATCATCACGAGGTAGCTGGCTGAAAACCAGTTAATGTTGTGGTGCCCCATATGTGAGCTGCTAAGGGCTCCCACTCACTCTCACCTCCATTTGGAGTGGATTCCTTTTGATAGTATTGAACTGTAATCAACAAAACCAGGTAATCTTTGGCAATGAATTAAGTGTCAATTTGGGCAGTGTTGACAACCTGAATCCTGCCTTCATTTTACAGTAGTGCACTGCTCCCACATGTGATATGATGGAATAGAATATCATCACGTATGACAGCTGGTCACTTCTTTTATTCATCCATGAAAGCCCAGTGGAATATTAATATTCATCTCTAATAATCTGTGACAGTCCAGTGGCATATTATCTCTAATATTGATCTGTGACAGCCCAGTGTCATGTTCACGGCATCTTTAAGCCATATATATATATTACCATTCATGATAGGGCATCCAAGAGTTATTTTCCAACATGATAATATTTGGCCACATGCAGCTAAGATTTCACAAGAATACCTCTGACTGTATTACCAGTCATCTCTGGCCTGTTGGATTCCCAGATTTGTCATATTGAACATATCTTGGACCACTTGGGATGATAAGTTATATTTATAGGTGCTAGAGGGTTTTAGGTGTTATCAAAGAAATGCACATAAGCAACTGTGAAATTAGATAAATTATTATCCAAAAATTAGACACCATATGGGGTCTATATGTCTTGGTATCATTGCAGTATTGTGTCATGCATTCACGTGAGAGGTGGCCCAACAGGGTACTGGAACCTGAATTCATAATAGTTTTTTTTTGTAATAAAGTATACTTTTGCTTTGATTTTGTAATCATTACTTTATAGCGACATGACACTCTCATATATATATATATATTTCAATTCTGACAAATTTTTCTTTTTATCACAAATTTTATGGCAATGATCATAAATATGTAAGTTATTGCAATGCATGCTTTTGTTTGCCAGTATGATACAATTTATTTCTATCTTTAACTGTCAAAATTAATTTCTGTAGGTTATCCTAAAACATGCTGTCTGAAATGGCATGGTGCACTTAATTTGAATAAATGGTACTCTGCTAGAGCTCTGAAATACTGTTAATAAAATTAAAAATTTGTCTGTTAACTGCTTAACACTTAGTTATAGCTCTTTCTTCTTAGGTGGGAAAAGGATGCTGTTCTGCTCTGAAAGGAATGGGTGCAGTAGTATGTGTATCTGAAATTGATCCAATCTGTGCTCTACAAGCTTGGTAATTATAATTGACTTGGTATTTGAAAAATAAATTTTCAAAATGGATGGCACAGTAACTTTTCAATAATATTAATTTCTAAAATAGAAATGTATAAGTAGATGCTCGTTATAATTCTTTATCAAAAAATTTATTTATCTAAAGATTATTTATTTTCTAAATAAAAAGCTCTTAAGCTAATAAAAAGCTCTTAAAGCTTTTTGTTTAGAAGTTATAGCTGCAAATTACCCTAACTTTTATGAATCCGCATTTATACTTATGGCTGTGTATGTGAGGGAAATACTGGTGCCGCGTTCTACTGTGAAGGATATTTTGAGGAATCCCATGCTATTGGTCTTAATGCCTCTAACTTCGATGCAGAGATTTTTGCCATGGGAAAAGCAATTTTAAATCTTCTTGAACTTGATACTATTTTTAGCAAGGCATTTATATTTGTTGACTCCAGGGTTGCAATTATGGTAGCTGCCTCCTATACACCTAGTGATTACTTTTTTGTTGAAAAAACTTATAAATATATCCAAAGTAATAGCCTCTGGCTCGGAGCTTGTTTTTCAGTGGAATCTCAGTCACTGTGCGGTGCCTGTAAATGAAAAAGCTGTCCTTTTGGTTAAAAATGTCTGTAAGCTACCCCAGACACATTTTCCTCTATCCAGCCATCAGTTTAGTTCTGCTGTAAAGAAGAAAGTGGGCCAACTCTTAAACAAAAGTATAAACTCCTGCTAAACTGATAAAGTATAGAATACTCTTGCATTTTCCTCCTATCCCAATGGACATGCCCTGTGCAATTTTTACAGCAAATTTTCGACTCTCGACAGGACATGACTTCCTGCATAAACATTTGCACCACATTGCTGTAGTGCTGATGATGTCTGTCCTCTTTGTCTGTCTAATGACAATTTGCACTGCATTTGATTTTATGACTTTTAATTCTGACAATTTTACCAAGGCTAAATTTTGTTGGGCTGCCAGAAGTCTCATGGCAGATATTGTTACAGACTGACATTGGGGGGGGGATAATATTAATTTTTTTATCATTGTCTGCATGAATTCTCCCCCCCCCCTACTATCTAATTTAAATATGTAAAAAGCAGCTTAAATGAATGTACTTAACTGTGCTTAAAGAAAATAATTGTATTTTATTACATGAGTGCATAATGCATCAATTTAAATATTGAAATTTAAAATTTAGCTCAGAAGTTTAATTTTAAATTGTTCTTAATGAATCAATTGAATAAAGTCTATGCTTATTAAATATAGTTTGCTGAATTTTCCATTGTTTTATAACATTGGTAGATAGTTTTTTAGAAAGTCTAATCAGTCAGGAGACTAATAGCGAATATAATAGTATATTTTGGCTATTATAATTAAAGAAACTGTCAATAAAAGTTCAGAGTTCTTCTTTGTTGATTTTAATAATTTATGATTGAAGTTGATTATTGTGAAATATAATTATGCAAAGCATCAGGTACTAATTGTTAGAAGATCTGAAAAATTCAACGTGTCTGTTTGTTTGATTTTAATAACTTATGATTAAAGTCGATTATTGTAAAATATATTATAATGATGCAGAATATCAGTACCCAAGGTGTTAGAAGATACATAAATCTTAGAAGATTCAAGTCCTTATATAACTGAAGTCATTAAATGAAAAATTTAATAACAAGCTTATAAATATAGAATTTTATGAATCTAAACTGACATATAGGTAAGTGTGTGGTACAAAAACAAATTTCAGTGCAATTTCAATGATTTCATCATGAAGTTTATCACATAAAAAGTGTACATAATTCTGTTACAGTAAAACATCTTTATGAATTTATTTATTTATCAAGATAATTCATCATATGAAATGTTTGCAAGCTGAAAGCATTTTGCCCGTATGAATTAATATAAAATGAATCAATTCATTTCTGGAGCACAGATTATTCCTTTTTTTAAAATTTGCAGCAGTATTTTATGCACAGATTCATAACATAAAATCATAAGCAATCTTTAAATCTAAGGCAAAATAAGTAAACCTAATATTAAACAAATAAAATAGACAAAATATTAATTTAACTTCACTGTATTCATATCAAAGAGATGAACAGCATAACTGGAAAATATTTAAGAAGATTTATTATATGAATGAGGAGTCCCCTTCCATAAAAACATAAGGCATCTTCTTTTATCTTTTTTCTCTTAGTGCTAATTGACTGTGCTTGAGATTTAGTGGGTCTGTGTTTTGCTCAAAATTTGTTTTGTGTAGCTTTTTGTTGTCTATATCTTAAAATGTTTTGGAAGTTAGACATGGCATTGTCATTAAAAATACTAGCTTGTTGCTTCTTTATCAGGATGATTTTTATATGAAATTTTGTATCTTGCTCTATTTTTCACAAATATCATGGTTCAAAATGGGTTTTATCTTCTCTTCCTTCTATCTCTAAAAAAATTTCCTATGCAGTTGCCATATAGTGCTACTTTTGACGGTATTCTAGTTATTTCTTATAGTTCATCTTTAGTGTCCTCTAGTAACTCCTCCATATCTTTATTATTAACATCAAAGCACATGGTTTTTTCTAGAGACAAAATATTATAGATAACAAATAAAAGTAGTCAATTCATCAATAGGCTTCAAAATCTCTATCTGCAATACAATCTGGCTATAATTTTCTCCAGACCGAGATCGTGGTCCTATAAATCACCTGCTACCAGTCTTTTTTAATGAGTTCAGTAACAGAAAACATTAAAGTAATGTTTCTAGAAGTCCTTGAATGTTAAATTTGTATCAGGGGTTAATTCAAATATCAGACTGAAATAATATTTGATTTCTTATAACCATGTAATGATTATCACTGTAATTTCATTCTAAATATGTTTGAATGTTGTCTCACTTTTTAAGCAGTCACTGTTAATTGTAGAATGTATAAATTGTCTGTCTTATTTCTTGTTAATGCTAAAATATATAGAAATGTACTCCCACTCACCAAAAAATACTCCTTCCTTTCCTGAGTCCAGATTTTCATTTTCTGAATCACAGGTGATACTGAAATTTGATGTATTGGAAATAACAAAATTTATTTCTATTGTTTGCTTGCCCTTTGGTTTATCAAAATGATTTAATGTTTTCATTATGTTTTTCTGTGAAAAGAGAATTTTTTCCATTACATTTTGAGCAGCAGTTTTTTAATGCATATAAAAATATACATTAAAAAAAATCATTGTTTTTCTAAATGACTTTTTTTTTTCAAGTAATTCATGTGCCAAGGTCATCATAATTATTTACTGAGATAAACTGAGTGAAAACTTTGACAAAGATTTTTCAGACATTTTGCTAACTTTTTTAAATGAATTAGATGCTTTTTTAATCGCCTCAAAAATTGAGGACAATCTCTGAATTTATGCAAGAAGTAAACTGCCAAAAAATGGGAAAAGGAAGCAGGGAAAAAAAAAAAAAAAAAAACTCTCTTTCTGGGAGATTTCTTTCTTTCTTCTTTTTTTATTTTTTATTTTTTATTGCCTATTTCAAAAAATAGAGATATATTGAGATCTCCTTTAAGGAATGTTGAAATTTATTTTTTGGAAATTATTTCCGAGACATTTGTGCTGTTTAAATTAACCATAATAAAATCCTTAGAATTTGCTAATAAATACAGAGAGTAAGCATTGGCCATTTGATAAAAATACTCTGAATACAAAAATCTAAATTGAATTATGTCCTGCAAAAAGTATCCATATTAGATGAAGACTAAATGGATGGTATAGTCAAAGTTCAATGTGTTCCTTGTAATGAAACATTCAGGTAGTGACTTCCTCATTTCAGAAGCTTTACTGCTAAAGAAATATGAAATTTACTCAAAATTAATTGGATAATGTAAATCAACTATGTTTTGTTTTGACATGTTTGCCAAGCAGCTACAGACCCAAATTTTTTATCACACAAATTTATGCTAAAATTATTGTTTCTTCAATAATGAGGTATTTCATTTAGTGCTGAAGGGAAATTAAGAATCAGGACTCTCCACGTGTTTTATCATGGGGAAGGGGGAATATCTAATGTGCATATATAAAGCATACCCCCCCCCCCCCCCGAAAAAAAAGGTTGTTGGTGGCTCTGAGGTCTGGATTCTAGATCATTTTGGATATTGGACATCCGGATCTCCAACTTTGTACTATATTAGTCAAAAACTCCCCTCCCCCTCTAAGAAAAGGTCAGACTGACAAAAAAATTAAAGGTTTTATATTGCTTAATACTCTTTAAATATATACAGGGTGTTGATGCTACTCTGTAAAATAATATTAATTGTAATATTACAACTCATGCACCTTTAAACTGGCAATATTTGTACTTCTTTTGTATATGACAAACTTTTGTTGCTATATTAATGTAATAAAAGAAGTGGTTTTTTATTTATTATGCTTCATCAGAAGCAGAATTTGAAACTGTTCAAAAGTAAAGCTGCTAAAAAATCTTAAATTGTTTTCATTTTAAAATTATATTACAGTCCACTATAAAACCTATAAAACTATGCTGACACAGGGTTTATGCTGTTAAAAGGTTTTATACTGTTTAAATATCTCAGAAAACAGATTAATACTGTTTACAGACTATTTCTAATTTTTAATAAAAGAAGTTACTTCTAAACTCAGAAAAATATTATGCATGTCTAAAACGTATTTGATGCAATAATGTGTGGTAGTCTTGTGTTTAAAAATCTAAAATTTTTATATCTTTATGTTCAAAATATGAGCAAAAGCAAGAGTTGGATGTTCCAATTAGTATATGGAAATTAAATAAAAAATATGCTTTTTCATTTTCACTGTTAACATTTATTTAATATTTTACAATCAAAATACATTTTATTCCATGAAATTGAATCCTTTGTGATGCAGGAACATAAACACCAGAGTTCTGATGACACTAGACAATTTTTTTCTTTAAATTTCAGATCTGTTTTTGTGTATGTGTGCATTATGATTTCAAGTTATATAAAATAAAGGGATTATAGTGTTACAGATTATAGAAAACTACCAATTGCACAATAATCTATATTATTATATTTCCAGTATGGATGGCTTTCGAGTAGTTAAGATTAATGAAGTTGTGAGAAACATTGATATACTTGTCACTGCTACTGGTAATAAGATTATCTTACTTTATACTTCTTAGTAATAGTTTATTTCTTAGAAATTAAATAGTTTTTTAGTTACATTTGCTTAAAGTACTATTTATTCTAATTTTTAGGTAATAAAAATGTCGTAACTCGAGAACACATGGATAAAATGAAGAATGGTTGCATTTTATGCAACATGGGCCATTCCAATACTGAAATTGATGTGGTTAGTAATTTTTATTACATTTAGAACAAATTTTCATATTACTTTACTGTAAGATATGGGGTTTACTCTTATCAGTAATGCTATTTGTTAAATCTCCAGTGCATAGTTTACAGAAGTTTTATATGAGAAAACTTATATGGAACTTAAGTAAACTACAGCAAAAATAACTCTGTTTATATTAAAAAAAAAAGCCAATAAATACATTCATTTGATGCTTAATTTTTTTACAGCAAAGTCTGAAAGGTTTGACATGGGAAAAAGTGCGATCACAGGTAGACCATATTATTTGGCCAGATGGGAAACGAATTATATTACTTGCAGAGGTATATGATTGAATCATTTATTTTTTAGCGTTATTATATAGTTATGAATACCCACCTGTTAAATTATTCATGCGTAGTAACCATTTTTAGCATCATAAAGTAGATTACATATTTGATAAATATATATAACAAAATATGGTAAACATTTCTATTTTATATAAACATAAATTAAAATATGCCCTATAATTCAAGGGAATGCAGCCAATTAGACTTCATGGTTTCACAGCTCATGTGCCAGACATCAGTTTTGAATGGAAGCATATTTATGTTATCTACTAGGTTTTAGAATGCTTTCATTGACTTTCAGTGACTATTGGCATCAATGTGTTAGGCATTGCTTGTGATCAGTGTTCTAATTCTTTTTAGGGTTTTTCTGACTTTATGATATAGAACAAGCCAGTTTACTTCCTCAACATTGATACTAAATCAGCTATGTTCAGTGTATGCTTTATAGATCAGAAACCATTTGTGCTAAAGCTCTAAACTTTTGGTTATTCTAAATTATTGCCACAATGTGGGCAGAAAAAAATTAACTGAACTATATTAGATAATGCATTTCTCCCATTACCCTTTTGTTGAACCAAGAGACAAACCCCAAACCAGAAGAAATAGCTGCAAATTGTGAACTCTTCTGTATCAAACATCACATGAGATGCAATGCACTAAGAAACTGCAACTCACTCTTCATATTATTGGATACAATGCTACTGGATTGCCAAAACATAAAGCATGATTTGTCACTCCATGCAACATGTGGTCATTGTTCCAGATTCATTCAGCACCAAGTTTTACACTGTCAGAGACAGTTTGCAGTATTGGTTAGATTAATCCTTGATTTAGATATAGCTGCTAGCTGCGAAATTCAAATGCTGAAAGCTGTTGTGATGATGGCAGTACCCAGAGGCACTTAATTTTATATTAATGTTTTCTGTTATACACTTGTAATTCTTACACATTTCCATTTTAGAATTGAATGGAACATGTGTAATATCTTTTAATGAAATGTTATTTCATTATTTGACAAAATGGTGATATCTTATCACTTTTTCCTATTGAAAGTCGGCTAGCTGACATTTTCCACCTATTTTACATTATTTATTTGTGTTGTTTTTGACTTTGCATGGTGCCATCTCTGTTTTTCTGAACTCATCATGTGTTATTGGTAATGGTATCTATACTCTTGAAGCATCCAAATATTCTTGATTATTGATGCACAAAATTTGGGCTCAGGAAAAATTATTTAATTGTAACTACAGTTTCAGTTATAAAAAAATATTGTTAATTTCTAATACATCTTCTACTGTGTTGTTTGTTGTATGTGTACAACAACAGTATATATCTTAGCATTAGAATGCTTTAAACATATATAGTTTATAGGAATAAAAGTTATAGCATAATAATCAGGGCTGTGGAGTCGGTAGGGAAAATGACCGGCTCTGGCTCCTGGAATTTTAAAGACTCCATCTCCCTCATATATATGTAAACAATACACATGGGTTACAGCTTATTTTCTAATATAAAAGAAGTAATAGATGCTACAGAAAAAAAAATTGATGGCACTGCAAATTATTTATATTAATTAGCATTTATTATGAAATGGAAAAACTGACATTTGTTATTTCTAAGAAACAGTATAGTTTGGGAAAATCTTTGTTGGAGTGCCACAAATCCGATTTGATAAACTTCAGAGCTGAGAAGAGTCTTTCCACATTAACTTAAGTAGGAAGAAGAGCTGTTACTTTTAGGGCTACTTCTTTTAACTTTTCAGGATAGATTTTTATAAGTTCTAAAAGAGGTGTCTTGTAAGCACAATCATATTTTTCTATTTCTTCAAAGGCCTTGTAGAAATCTTGTTTGTATTTTTCATTTTTATATCTAAAGGATCTTTCTTGGTTCTTTATTTTCATCCACTTTGCCTTAGCCTTATTAATATTATCCAAAAATATTTCTCAAAATCTAATTCATCTCTAGAAGAGGATGACAGAGACTCCAATGCAATGTCTGCAGTTTGACTGTCCTGATTCGAATTTTCTAATTGTTCTGATAATAATTTCATTCTTAATGAAACTTCTTAGATGACTTTTTTTGCCTTTTAATTTGTTCATCATCCAAGAAAATTCAATGTTTTGGATCTGCATATATTGAACCCAGCAAGATCTCATTGTCTAGCAAACTAGTTTCTTTTTTCTTCATAGAAGAAATGATTCCTTCTGCAATAAACCCTCCATTTCAGAAAGAATAAACATTTCATTGTTCCATTCTCACCTCCTGTCAATTTTTCAGATTGCAGCTTTTTTGGGGCTTATGGTGTAGAAATAAGAGTTCTGAAAGATCATTCCATATTCTTTCTGTTAGTGAAACATTATGGTTATCTACATCTTCTAAAAAAGTTCTTAATTCTAACAACCTCTTTATCATCAAATATGCACTTCCTTATCACGTTGCTTGATCAATAATTGATTCTTTTTCTGCTTGCTTCCTAAAAATGACATCAATTTTGGGAGTTCTTTGCTGCTGTTGCTGCTTACGTAAATTTACCAGTGAAATTTGTAACTAAATGAATTAGTTTAATCACTAATGGCAAATATCACATCCATCCTCCTCCATTATATTTATTTATTAATATGTTAATAAAATAGAATATAACTATATATTAATGTATATAGTCCATAAATAAAAATAATAACTCAGCTTGTCATTAATTTTTTTCAATTAATTTTAATTTCATTTCAAATTTAAAGTGTCCAACAAAAACTGAAGTCCGAGTCAGAGTCGGCCTGTTTTTATCGACTCCAGCTCCGACTCCTTTTACCCCAAAATCTGCCCTACTCTGATTCTGACTCCATGACTCCAACTCCACAGCCCTAATAACAATATGACTAGTTATGGACAAAAAATTGATATCAGATTTTACATTTTGGTCTCTCCAGAAGCACTTAGTATATTTAATACATGAAGTATTTCATCTGGCACATATCTGTGAAATGAATCAATTGAAGTGTGTATATAATGTAGCAATGAAGAGCATTAAATGCAAATTTATTTTTGTGCGTAATATTGTTATACATTAATTTATATATTAAGTTATCTTTATCTCCATCTGAGATCTTAACGTATATGGAGAGAGAAAGAGAGAGGATATAGTTTGTATTTATATACATATCAGATGTTTGAAAAGTGGAGCTTATAGGCTTTATTTTATTAAATATTTATTCTAGACATGTACATCTACTGAAAGTTTTTCATATTAAAATAGGAGAATTTTATGTAATTAGTCAGTACTGCAACTGGCAGGAATCTGTAAACATGATTCCAGCCTTTTTTGTGATTCCTGCAATAATTCTAGTTATTAAAATATTCATTATATTTTATAAAGTTAAATACAAAATACCTTAATCTATGGATACTTTTAATACCCTCGACTAATTTTTATTCTATACTTTTATCCTTCTTATGGAGATTTTCAGGAATAAATTTACTGATTTAGATCACTTTTAATCTCTCTAATTTAGATAATTTTTAATGCCTGTTGCCACTGAAAATTCAACAAATCTTGATAGTTCTGATAAACATTTACCCCCTCCCTGCCCCAAAAAATAAATTACTCATTTTGAATAATGGTTCTGTATTGGATGAAAGAACTTGCTAAATTTTTAACTAGCCCCATGAAAATGTAAATTTTTAATACTTCTCCAGATTTTGCAATCAAAGGTTTTGAATGTTTTTATTTGTAAAAAAAATTTAATTCTATGTTAATGTTTATTTTTAAGGGACGATTAGCCAACTTGAGCTGCTCTACCATTCCATCTTTTGTTGTATCCATCACTGCATCAACTCAAGCTCTTGCTCTAATAGAACTTTTTAGTGCTCCTGCTGGAAGATATAAAGGTGATGTTTATCTCCTGCCAAAGAAAATGGGTATGTAAATGTTATACAAATTGTAAATTTAAAAAAAAAATCGCCATAAAGAGAGTATCTTTGTTTTGTCAGTTCCAGTTACAAAAAACATTAAATTTCTCTTTGCTTGAACTGCCAAATGTACTGTAAGACCTGTATAATACCTGTATTTTGCATTTACCTAAATATTATGTGAAGAAAATAATAGTTAAAAGGTGCATAAAAGCAAAATTATAATTTCATGTAAAGAACATTAAGTATGCTAAACCCACATAAGAGTTGATTTGAGTGATGAGTTACTATAGGCTTTAATTTGTATTTTTATTTGTTTTATTTCTATTGAAGCATACTTTTAAATTGGGGTTTTTGAATATCAGTTTTAAATTTACACCTGTTTTGAGACATTTGCTTTGGTTGATCTAACTTTTATTCTGCAATATCAAAAGTGAATGTTATCAAAAGTGAATTTTTAATTTTATGTATTCAGAACCATGATCAGTGTTTGCATGTCATTTGAATATTTAAGTTAAAAAGAATTTTTACTTGAATATCTTTAATTTAAATAACTAAAAGTAAATATACAATAAAAATTATGATACTAATTTAATAGTTTTATTGCAAAATTACAATTGTAGTTAATAATCTAGTGTCTCTGGAATGATTTTTTTAAATGCATTAACTTTCTTGAGATTTTATTTTTAAGATTTATTAAAAGAGGTGTTTTTACTTTTAAACATTTATAAAAGTTAAAACATTATACAGTACAAAGTCCGAAATCCAGGGGTCCAGTATCCAGAATGATTTCAAATTCCAGCATCCGGATCACCAGCAAGCCCCCCTTTATTTTTCAAATGTTTTACACTTGCACATTAAATATTTTTTCATAAGAAAATGTGGAGAGTCTGAGTTACTTCTCAATTTCATTCATTTCACTTCCACACTAACCACTAACACCAACCTGGCAAATCATTATTTATCATTTTTTGCTTTCATCACTTGCATGACTGTTAGCACTTTGTAGCTTGAGAAAACAACTCGTGCAGTGATGTCTACTAGGCAGCATGATGTAGGAAAGGCAAAATCTTTAGAATTTAGAGAAGCACTGAGCAACAAGACTAAAGGGTGGCAAAATCTTTATAATTTAGGGGAGATGCTAGTATGCAAGATTTTTAGAATTTAAGGAGGCTCAACAACAGATTTAGGCCCTACAGAGACTACACAAAGTGGCAAAATGTCTAGCACCAGCCCTGGATAAATCTTAAGTTTATGTGGAAATTTATTTATTTGGGACTTAGATAAACCTTAAGTACATTCAGGAAATAGTTATAAGTATAATAAATAACTAAACTAATATAATTGAGACTTATGTTTGTCAGACAAAATTTGGTGGAACAGCATCATGTATTTACTCTCCAATCTCAGGCTGCATTGCCAGTAGTGTACAGTGTATGCTGGCTAAGCTCTATGATGACAGACATAAATTTGAAGGTTTTCAGATATCGCAAACAAAAATCACATTTTTTCAATTAATGGAATTTGTGAAGAAATTTGTAGAAGTTGTAATAAATGAAGACATGCTACAGTAGACATTTTTCATAGCAATGGCAATACCCCAAACGTCAGTCAACTGGCAGATGGTAAAATCCGTAGTTATGGCTCTAAATCCAGAAAATGTCACCACTGACAATGAAGAAAATGACAGTGAGGTTGTTGAAAATGAAAAATTTTGATTGACAATTTAGTGTGAATTCTTGATGTAGCAATTACAATAGTTGAACATTTTTTTGAACAAGAAATAATGTCTTTTGCAATTGAACAAGAAATAATGTCTGTATATAGAATTTAAGAGAATGTATTAGAGTAAAAAATGAAGAAAATTGAGCAACATGCATTAAAAAATATTAATGAAACAAACAAATAAATATTGTGTTTTTTTTTCATTTTTTGCCTATTTTGAAGTGTTGCTTGCTTTGTAAGTAACGTTTTGTTGCATGTTTTGCTTTTTCACACACTCTGCAGCTTTTGTTTTGCAATTTTTGTTGGAAAGTTTGTACCCAGAATTCACTATGTTTTGTAGTGCTGTTTTAGATTGTATTCCAGAAACACAGGTAGGTTCGACACAATAAACCCTCTGCTTTATTCCCTTGTACTAGCAAAGAAATTTTGTTTATCTAGTCTTCATTAAACCCATAAAAATCATCCCTGAAAGTACTGTGCATCATATCTACCCACCCTGAACAGACATGGTTGTCCTATTGTAAAATATAAGACAAATCTTCGGTCACATATGCGAAGGAAATCTCGGTTCAAGGCAGATTTTTCTGACTCCTTTGGTGGGCTACAAAAAACTTTTAGTGAGCTGCATATGGTCCATGGGTTGCTACTTACCCACCTTGGCCTATTGCATCATCATTATAATCTTTCAATGCACTCATTTGATTCCCTGTTCTAGAAGATGAAACAGCACTATACATATTATTTCTGTTCATATGGATTATGTAATTATCACTTTAGTTTTGCTTTTACTATACTTGTGTGTTATTCTAGGTTTTATTTATTATTTGGAATCATTTTTGTTTGTTCTTTAACCATTTAAATAATTTTCTGATAATACTTATTCCTTTTCTTTAGTCCAAATTGGTATTTAAAATATTTCGTAGAATGCTAAACTCCCATGAGTAAAACCTATATATGTACTAAATTTATATATAAATTTTTAAGTGAAAATTTTATGTTTAAAAACAATACCATAAATTTATATAAAAACAGTTACATAGTTTGTTAATGAATAAGGTTTGCAATGTGTTGGAACTGCTGTTTTCTTAGCCTGATGTAGTCATCTGCTCAGTTTTGATATTAAGTTTCTTTTTCCAATTTTTAAAATGATTATAAATGCATTTTTCTTAAAATATGCGTTCAATTAAAAAATATTTTAATCATTCATAAAGTGATGTATTTACTGTTGCTAATTTTTTTAGATGAATATGTGGCAAGCCTACATCTACCAACATTTGATGCCCACTTAACTGAAATGACTGATGAACAGGCTCGGTATATGGGCTTAAACAAAGCTGGTCCTTTCAAGCAGGCTTATTATCGGTATGTACTATGTTTATATGTAAAATTTTGAAGTTCTTACTGATTGTGGATCTCTGAGAAATAGAAAAGTGCTTAATTTTCGCCTATCAAGACATAAAATTTTTCTTACTTCTTGGGATTTAAAAAAAAAAAAAAAAAAAAAAAAAAAAAAAAAAAAAAAAAAAAAAAAAAAAAAAAAAAAAAAAAACAAAAAAAAAAAAAAAAAAAAAAAAAAAAAAAAAAAAAAAAAAAAAAAAAAAAAAAAAAAAAAAAAAACAGAAAAAAAAAAAAAAAAAAAAAAAAAAAAAAAAAAAAAAGAAAAAAAAAAAAAAAAAAAAAAAAAAAAAAAAAAAAATAAAAAAAAAAAAAAAAAAAAAAAACAAAAAAAAAAAAAAAAAAAAAAAAAAAAAAAAAAAAAAAAAAACAAAAAAAAAAAAAAAAAAAAAAAAAAAAAAAAAAAAAAAAAAGAGAGAGATAACAGAAGAATAACAAAAGAATTCTGCTAGGCTGAATAAACTGCAGAGAAAATTAATTTTAACGCCAGAGAGTGCCACTCTTGTAAGGGAGGATAATTCGAGGAACAGATGCTTAGAGAAAGAGCCTTTTTAAGAGCATCGTAAAGGTTTTTAAACTGATTGACACCTGAAGAATATGCTGGCAACTTTTTCTGATCAAAACTTTTGCTTTCAAAGTGATACTTTCCTGACTTCTCTTTGTATGATCAAGAGTTGCTATTAAGAGAAAGTTAGATTGCTTGCAGCAACAAATAAAGATCTGACCTAAGATGCAACAATTTGGTCCCAGTATATTTCTGCCATCATAATACAACCTGCAAACATATGGGCTTATTGTAGTGCTTTAATGAAAACCTCTTCCACAACTTCCCATTATTGTGTGATGCTTAACCGTGGTACTGGACTAACAACTGTTATTTTTTAAGTTTAGACAAAGTCCTAACTCAGGAGTGAAAGCAGTTTTGGATTTATGTGCTGGAATTCAAGTGTTATGTTGATGGCACTATGTTATTTATGTTTTTCTAGTCATAAGTCTCAAAGGGACTAAAAACTCTTGATATTTTTACAAGAAGAACTTTATAACCTTTTCCTCACAATACTAGTAGTTAATAATATTCTTGTAGTAATGGTAAAAAATTGTTTCAGAAGCTAATACAGTGCTTACATTAGTCATAGATGATGATACGACATTAGGGTGCTTCGTGTGTTTGAATAACCTTTTCATCTATTTTGAATTGTTTTTAAATATGTGAGAATGACTCACAGAAATGTGATTATCAACTCCTGCTTATCATACAATGCACATCATTATTACATATCTTGCAGATTCTTTCTGTGATCCATAATAAAGGAAATAAAATCAAATTTTAATTCAAAAGTTTCATGAAAGTATTTCTTTGACCAGTACAATTTCTGTGATCCCTTTGGCCAATTTTTGTATATTTTATTTAGCAGCCGACTTTGCCATATTAATTAATATCTGCATATCTCATTTGAAAATTAGAATAAGACTTGATTTTAAGTTTGCAAATGCGTATATATTATTTGGGAACTTGCAATTCATACCTAACTTTTGAAGGGCAATGTATTTTGTAATTTCATGTGGATAAAAATTTTGAACATGGTTTTTAAATCATTTTTATTTGATTTTTTTTTTTTTTACAGGTACTAAAGGAAACAAGTACAAAAATGAACTGATATTCAAATGGGAGGTTATTTTAAGGTCCAATAACAGGGTTTGAAGTACATTACCATTCCATTCCATTGTATTTTCGACTTCCCAGAGAGCTGAGGTGTCTTAATAGAGTGCTGCAAGAACAAGCACCATATATTTTTATTTTAGATATTGCCTCAAAAAATATTTTTTATGCAAATTTCATTGATGAAGTATTATTCAAATTTAGTTCTTCTCCCAAATTTCTGCTTTTATTTTTCATCTTTTGTTATTCTGTGTAGTGTGGCTATTTTCTTTTTTATGGATGTGCATTTATTGCACTTATTTTTATTATTTGTTCAATCTTTAAAACTCTTTGAAAATTAGGGGTAATTTATTATGTCTTTGTAATTTTCCTAAGTTAATGCCGAATTGTATGAAAATACTATTTTGGTAATAAGCATATGTTAAAATGGAATTTTTTTTCTTTTTCAGTTTAGGTTATGTGTTTGAACCCAAAAATATACCTTTTTTTTAATTTTTAAGAAAAATAAATTTGAATTTTTATTCTCATTCTCATTTATACTGCAAACAAGTTTTAAACTTATTTGCATATTAATTCTGTGTTCATCTTTGTTGTGTATAATTTTAATGTTACAAAACTTGATTTCATAAAGATGCAAACTTTTTCAAAGTGTTTGGAGTTTGTGTTTTAAATTTTAGTATTCAAGAGAGAGTATAATTTTGTTAAATATGCATGTCATTTTACTTATGCATTTTGTAATTCTAAAGTAGAATTCATTGTGACTGACAATTTTATGTTCTTATTTCAGTTTTATCATGTACAACGAAGCGATTTTATTAGAAATGCATTTTTTGTTCTTAATTTTATTCTTAACAGAATTCATTCTTTTGTTGTGGATAGATTATTAGAGCTCATAGGAGATTAGAAAAATTATAGGTTTATCATTTATTGTATTATGATATTTTGTTACATCGCAGGTATTAAAATTTAAAAAAAAAATACTTTCATGTAAATAAAGCAATAAACAAAACTTTGTAATAAAATAAACAAACAAGAAAAATTATTTAAGTATTAAGAAATTAAGTTTGGTATTTTTGACTTCTAGTTAGTGGTATGTAAAGAAGGAATGTATTATTTCTTTCAAAATTTGTTATGTTTTTTTTTCATTCTTCCATATTTCCTGTATATCTTAATTAAAATAGTTATCTATTATGTCTCTGTGATAAATAAGGTAATACTTATTTTGATATGCCAAAGTTATGACTTCATAGTTATCTAATAAATAGTTATTAAAATCCTTTACTTAATGGAAACATTTAATTGCACGTTTTATAAAGAATTGCATTTGTTTTCCATTAACTACTTTAGCTAGACTACATTTATGTGGGATAAATATCCTAATTGTTAGTAAACATTTTTATTTCTAAATTGTGTGCCTTGGTTGTAAAATTTTTTGTCTAAAACATTCAGGCATTGAATTTGAAAATATAGTTGTTTGTGTTTTATTTATTCATCGGTGTATGTCTGTGTAAGTCAACTGTATTTAGAATTGTAATCTTAACATTTTAAAATTTAATTTACAATTTGCTTCCATCCAAAAAGAGATCTCATAGTTAATTAATTTTTGAGATTTGAATATGCTTTCATTATTTTAATTTATTCTTTTCACAGAAGATCTCAATAAGTTATTTATTGAAACTTACTACTAATAGCTAATATAGCTTCATTAGTTTGCTGTTTTATTATTTTGTGATAAAAGTTGTTTCACAATAGAGTGAACATATTTAGGTGTATAAAACTGCTTTGAAAGTATATCATAACTGCCAACTGTCTGTTTTTACCAGGAGATTTTTTTTTTTTTTTTTGTCATGTCTCTTGACAGATCTCCAAATCTCCCAGTTTAAAATTTTTAGCCTTTACTAAGCAAATTTTATCTTAACAATAAATGGAATTTGTTGATTAATGAAACTTAAATTTTGCAAATTTCATTACCCATCTCCTAGTAATTTTAAGGATAATTTTATTAATAAATCTTATTTGATTTAAATAGTTGTAATCTATTGTGGGCATTTGTAGAATTTTATCTGGAGATTTAAGCACTGTTTAATCAGTTAGTATTTGTATTTTTGTTGTTAAATATTAATACATTTTACATCAGAATGATATTATAAATAGCGCAATAACTTCATTCATGCATTGTAAAGCCAATTTAAGTCAATTTGGAATTCTGATTTGCTGACTTCCCCAGTAGCATGAAAGCCTCCTAGAAGTCCTGGTTTTTCATATTTCATAGTTGGCTAACTATGGTATATAAAGTACAGCTTGTGATGATTATGTAATTTTATTGTTTGTATTACCTGTATATTTAGTTTTGCATACTTTTAAAACTGAACTGTGACAGCTGCAGCTTTAAAAAGGAGCATCCTGTATATTTTTATCCGTTTTCAATTGCCAACCGACTCCACTTTCCTGCCTGTAATAATATTTTATGTGAATGTAATGCCCAATTCATGGTTTATCTTTTAGTAAAAAATGTTGAGTATAACATTTTTTAATAGTGAAAACTGCTGAGGATAATAACTTGTAACAGTTTTATAAATTTTTCAATTTTTAAATTATGTGTTATACAAATATCCTAGCAACTTGTTTTATGAGATACTTAAATACACTTTTGAAATATCATACACTTTATAAATTCATGTAGTAAGTTAATTAATTGTAAAATGCTTATAAAAGTGAAAAACATTTATTTTTATTAAATTATCTTGTGAAATTCTATGCTGTATGTAGCATCTTCTTAAGTACATATGGGTAACCAACCCTAACTGCAGATTTGCCTTTAACCAAAGATAATTCTGAGGAATATACTGACCAGATTGATATAGGCTAACTTAACTATGATGTAATGAGAAAGATACAATTAAATTGTAAAAATAAATAAGGAATAAAAGGAATTTAAGTTGTGATATTGTATGACAGCATCTAAATATGTTATCTGTGTGATAATATTAAATAAGTTGTCTTGTGAACCTTATGCTTATGTTGTTGAAAGTAGTTTTAGTAACCATAATGTAGATCAGATTTTTATTATTTCTGCGCTAATCATACTGTTAGCTTAATTTAATTAGATTGTATTATCTGGCAGTATGTAGATGTAGTTTTTCTTGTTCAAGCTGTAATAGCTGAAACAAGTACCTTCTCATCCATTGCCGCACTTCATTTATAAAGCTTGTCTTTCTATATCTTCTGTAAATCAATGTTTAGAGTGACTTGAATCTGTTTTACTCATTTTATCCTTTTGAGGAAAACTTGAGTCTCTGATGTAAATACATTTGTAATGTTTTATTCAATGTATTAAGAAATTTTATTTTTGTAATTGAGACATTTTTAGCATAGTTGAATATTTGCAAGAAAGATAATTTATTTCAATTAAAGTTAACACCAAGACATAAAGACCGAGTTAATTGGTACATTTTATAGTTTTGCATGGGTTTAAAATAATATTATTTTTTATTTTCATATAAGCAATTTTACATAATACGTGAACCGCTCATAATTATATTTGGGAATTATACTGTTTTTATATCATGAAACCATTTATTGATACAAATCAGCAAGGCGTTTTGCTTTCAAGAAGAATTTAATGGAAAATGAGTATATACATAAAAGTTAGCCATTTTGAATGTTTCATTCACAGTTCTAGTATTTTAAAATTACATTAGATATCAATTATTTGGAAAATGAGATTATACTTCTATTTCCACTTTATCAATATATAATAAGTTCCATTGCTGAAAAATAAAAATATGTTCTTCATGAAATGAAACTGAATCATATTTAAATGAATAAGTTGTAATTAATGAAATGAAAATGTTTGACCTTTATAATTAAAAACACATTTTTGAAATATACAAAATAAATAAAATGAGCAAAAATGTCTGTTTATAGCTTTGTAAATGTAAATGAATTCCTTCTTGCAAATGAAATCATCACAATGATGTTGTTATTTTAGAATATTAAAATAATTAAATCATTAAACATATTGTATCATTTTTCTCTTAATTATATTCTTATACATGTGTATTCCTCTCAGTAATTTTAATCACGGGATGTCTGTTTAAAAACATTTTAATTATATTTTTAAATATTATTAATGTTTATTTGATATGAGATTTAACCAATGCAAGACCCTAAAATTTTTTGTACTGTGAATATATGTAAACTGCCTTCACATGTTTTATTTACTAGCTATAAAAAATTATCATAACTTTCATTGAAAGATAACGTTCTGATAATTTTGGGAAAAAAAGTAGAATTATTTTTATATAATCAGATTTTTAACTATTTTATCAGAATCAGAAATAAGTAATAATTTATTTAAAAAAATTAAAATGGTTTACTTATTCTAAAGAAATTAAATCAGTAATATAAATTTAGCATTCGAGATAAATGTATGTAGGACAAAGGGAAAAATATTATAAAATAACAAATATGGAAATAGAAAATCAGTTATATTTGTGTAACATATTGTAATTCATAGTCTATTTAAATTATACATAATATTTCTACACTTGAACATCTGTAGTTTGACAATCAGACATTATTACGCTATATAGATGTTACATATACATAAATCCTTGCATTGTGTCTCATGTCTTAAAACATGATATTTCTTTTAGACATATTTAAAGTAGAAAAAGAGTAGGCTGATTAAAAATAGAGAAATAAAATTATTTTTTCAGTATTATAGGAGATCTATCCTTTCTGGATTACAATGCAATAAAAATGAAATAAATTATATATCTAGCTGTAAAGTATAATTTTGTTTTTCTTTTTTTTAACTTAATTAGTATTATTTTATTTATCTGAATATCTTTTTCATCGCTGTGTTTTCTCTTTTGTACTGATTTAATTTTTCATTATTTATTCATGCTGAATATTTATAATCTAGTTGTATTATGCTTGTGAATTTAGATTAGATCCAAATATATGTCCATGACTTCATGAGGTTTAGCTGCATTTACTTGCTTGTAATAAAATATGAAACTTTTTATTTTGTTACTTGTGAACTGTAGAATTGACTATAATATAGAAATTACTATGACATCTTTTTATAGCTTTGTATGAAGTATTATACTTTGTGCAATGTGATAATTATACTAGTTTCAAAAGGGTTTTGTTTGGTAGCTTTGAAGCTAAGACATATATGTCACTTTTTTCCTCAATAATCAATTTATATTTTAATGCCTATATTCTAAATTTGCAATAACTGATAAAATATATACATTTATTATTTAATTTTATACCTTGATACTGTGGAAAACAAATTTTTTGTTACATTTTTTTTTTTTTTAAAGTTAATCCCATGAAATCTATCAGTAAGGCATTTGATTTTTTGGATGATTTGATCCCCTACCTTTTTAGTATTCTCCTACAGCCTTAATAATATGTATAAAAATTCGTTAATTTAATTTTCATACACACAATGTTTTTCTTTATACCGATTTTTATGTAAATGATTTATGTTTAGGAAAAACTCCGTTTGTAAATTTACATGATATATTTCAAGCTAATTAAACTTTGAAGATACATATTTTAAGCATTGAATTTCCAAAACAAAAACTGCATATTGTTATTCTATGAAAAAAAATTGTTTATGAAAAACTTATTTTAAACTGCTACTTTAATTGCATTTAGAAGTAACAAATGGGAAAATATGATTAAAATAATTTAAGTAATATGAAAATTTTAAAAAAATTAACAAAATCAGCTGAAGGAAGTGGTTTGAAAATGGGAAGAACTGAAGCCTAATTAAAAAGCATGCATTTAAGTCTTGTTTTAGTAAAAATCTTTAATCTTTATTTATGACATTACTCTTTCAGGAAATAAAATTTTTATGTTTGTTTGTCTAGCTTCTTATGTTTATAAAATTAAAATTCTTGTATAATTTGTTGGGGGGAAGAACTTTTTTTAATACTGATTTTCCACTTTCGAAAACCAGTCTTTTCTTACAAGTACTGTACTAATTGTATTTTTATTTTGCATGATAAGCATATTAAAAACCTATCTTTGTACAAGAACAGAATTTGGTGTATTTTTCTTCTTCATGTTTGCACTTCAGTGCTTTATCTCCCAGTAACAGAAATAACAGTAATAGCTAGCGACCTTGTTATTAAAATCATGTCAAAATCTGTAAGCATAAACATTTTATTTTTATGGTTATGTATGAATAATTACTAGCTAATATCAGTGCTTGTAATCTTCTCTAAAGATCATTATCAAAAGCTTTTAAACTTTCCTTAGGATATGAACAACTAAAAAATCATATGCCTTATTTATCTTGTTAGGAAAATAAAATTGTGAGAAAAATACATGTAAGGCTTTATGCCATTATGTACCTACCTGTTGTGATAAGATTTTTTGGTAAATAAAATTTGTGTATAGAAATAAAATTATTGTGGTTTTATTTGGATTCTTAGTGTCCCAGTATTAGATGGTAAAACATTCAATCATCATTTCAAGTAACTGATAAAAATGTACAAGAAAGATTTAAGCAATTTTATTCTATTATGTGTACCATATGTCGTCAGAAATATAAATAATTATATGTACCATATAAAATAGTCAGAAATATGGCTACATATTTAATTGCATCATATATGCAATTAAATATGTAGCTAATGAGATGTACTATTATGACTTAACTGAAATATAGTTAACTAAATATATAGTTGTAACGGAAGTTTTCCGCCAAAAAAAACGTTTTTAATAGAGGAAAAAACATGAAAGCATTACCTTTTGTGCGGGTAATTATCATCACCCAAATCTTTGATATTTCTACCACTGTTTTGGTAGTTTTACAAAGCCTTCAGGCCAGAAACTTGCTGGCCGCTAGTCTAAAAACAGATCAACTTCATTTCGGAAGTCCTGTGCAGAATGGAAGATAGAACCATCAAGATGTAACTGCAGGTGTGAAAAAAGATAGCAGTCCGAAGGAGCAATGCCAGGGCTATATGGTGGATGTGGTAATAGATCTCATTCGATGTCGTACAGGGTCTAGCCGATGAATGCAGAAACGTATGGTTTGCATTATCTTGATGGAAAATTACCTTTTGCGCCAGAACTCAGTTCGACGTTTGTCCTTGATAGCAGTGTCAACACGGACTAACATCTCGCTTGTACACCTTACTGTCGGAGGGTTTTACCTTTTCCAGATATTGTTTGTGGATAATACTACAGCAATCCCACCAGATACAAAGCATAATCTTTTTTGTTAGTCAAATTGCTCTGCCAACGGGCGCAGATCAAGCATTTCGGCCTGTGTTGTAAATCCTCTTTTCATCAGAAGTGACGATCCGGGCCGAATTTTGTGTTTGCGTTGATGTTCGAGCAGATTAGTTGAAGCACGAACACGTCTCTCCTTACCTGCTTTAGTCAGCTCATGCACCATCCAACGATTCCTTCTGCAAATTCGCGCAGGCTCGCCATCAGTAGGCCGGCCAGAGCGCTTTGCTTCTTGAATGCCAGGTTTTTATTTTTGAACTTTCGGCCCCAAATCGTCACAGTGTCATATGATACAACATTAGTACCTAAAACTATACACATGATTTGGGTGACATTCTGTAGCTGGCTGGCGTTTTGCAACAGAACTGGAAGTAAAGGATGGTTCTAATCTGGTAGCATGATAATTCCATTTCAGATACCTTATACTTAATGATAACGATATATTTTTACAAATTTCACCATGGTAAAAATTTCGCTGTGGATGATAAGGATATAGGTACCGTTAAATATAAATGCGTAATAAATGGCAACATTTAGAAATCTATTGAATAAGTTCCATCATAAAGAAATATATCAGCATTACGAAATTTACTGTGGTATTTATTTATAAAATAATGTCATTAGTTTATTATTCAGATTATTAAAATTTTTATTGTCACTCAATTTATGTGTATCTCTTTGCAGCTTCAAAAATCTTCATCCCCCTATTCTTTTGATTTGCTTATGTTGTGAATGGTAAAAAGATGACCCATTTCTTCTGAGTAAATATTTCTGGGATGATAGTGATATCTAAAATCACAAGACAAGGACTAGTTCTAAAATTTTTTTCATGTGTTACTATTAGACTTTATCTAGTGCTTTCTATCCAAATATATTTAATTTTTTTTTTCTAATTTCCGGAAAAACGGAAATCGAGATTATTTGCTGTTGCATTTGTAAATGTTTTAAAAATTAGCAAACATTTCAAACTGTCCGGAAGTATGGATGATCGGTTGGGTTTATTTGATTATGACAAAGCATTGGAAGCCTACCTGCCTGAGAGGAGGAATGCCTTCGTGGAGGGCTTTCTAAGAGAACTGGCTCGTATACATGCACATGGGGGAAAAAACACGAAGACGCCCTTGCAGCCGGCCTGTTAGAGGGATTCGAACCTCTGTGTAACAGATGTTTCACCTCTTTCATTTCATTCCTTCTTAAATTAATATCATGTCGTTATTTTACTCATTTCTAATATGAGTCCTTAAAAATAATGTAAATAGTTTCATTTTTATATTGTGTTACCTAACTAAACAACAACATTATCTCTTTCGTTTATTTATTATTTGAATGTTGTGCAAATGTTTCGCCTTCAGAGAATCAAATATAGTGAGTTTCAATGAGTTAAAAAAAATAAAAATAAATTACCAAATCGAAAGTTACCTTTATGAATACTAAACAGATTCTTTAAAGAAACTATATTCCGAAACTTGACAAATACAATATTAAGCAATTCAACCGTTCTATAACAAATTGACAATATTTTATAATGTCGTACAATCGCTTGTGCTTTTAATCAGTTGTAGATTTATCAGTTAGAAGCATGTGAAGTTGTGTGTGTGTATTTTAAATCATCTCTGATATGCGTGGAACTTATTTCATGATTAGCATTACACACGTAGGGATGACATGGCGCATAGCCTTATTCAGATTATCGAAAGTAATCTAGGCCCACCAGCGGCCGAGCGGTAAAGTCGCTGAACACTGGTAGTTCGGTCCGAGATTCGAATCCCGCGAACGGGCTGGTTGCATGGGTGTTTTCGTGGTTTTCCCCATGTGCAACGTGTATACGAGCCAGTTTCCCTTAGAAAGTCCTTCACGAAGGCATCCCTCCCCTTAGGGAGATAGCCCTAGTGTGCTTTGCCATAATTAAATACACCTAACACACCTAAGAAAGTAATCTAGATATGAGGATACGAAGTTTCGCATGGAACATGTTCAAACCTGCTGTAATCACAACTAACTTCAAACTTTGAAAAATATAATGCATAATGAGTGATGTATTGGAACTGAAAAGAGGATTAATTGTTGTGGCTTGTACTGGTGTATTAGTTACCAAGGCATAAGCCTTATTGATCGAGACGCCACAATATATAGGCTCGTGCTCGTATACTCAGAAAAGGAAAGAACTTCGTTCAGTTGGAGTCACTGCTGAAGTAAGAGGAAGTTATCTGAAAAAGATATTAGAGTATTAAACAATTTGTACTGCCTCCAAAGATGTAAATCAGTGTCTACTCAATTCTGGTTAAAAGCAATATAAGGTATCTTCTCCCTTTTCCGGCATGCCTTCGTGGTGTAACGGTTAGCACACTCGACGTCGAGTCCCGGCAGGACATTGCTCATTTTTCATGTCTCCTTCTTCAAAATAACCTAATGACTCTGCAGTGGTTACTAAAAGGTGGTGGATGATGATTCTTCAATACGGGGATTTAGTGATTGAGGCCCCTAATACCATGTCGCCCTTTAAAAGGGGGAGTATATAAGGTGTTAACGGCTTTACCATGCTGAAAGTACAGTTTCTCGTCCGATCACCAAAGTCAAGCAGCATCGGGCACGGTCAGTTCTTGGCAGGTTGACCCCTGGGAACATCGCGTGCTGTTGTTATATTTTTGAGAGATTGGGAAAATACTTATTTCTCCCTCCTTATAGCTAGCCTTCGTGGTGTAATAGTCAGCACTCTCGGCGCGTATTCGAGAGGTTAAGGTTCGAATTCCGGCTCTTTTTTCATATCTCCTGCTTCAAAATAACCTAATGACTCTACGGTAATGTTCTAAATTCACTCATTTCTATAAAATTCTCTTGTTGGGATCTTCAAAAGAGTAATATGAGGTTCAAAGTGATTGTAACGCCATGCTAAAGTTTGATTTCTGTTATGTCAAAAAAGCAAAATTTGTGTTGTTCAGCGATCACTGCTCATTGAGCATTTTTCTGACTTTCAGGAAAATTTATAGTCAGAGATTTCCCTCAGAAATTTATCCTATCGCTCCCAGAGTCAAGTATAGAAGTGTATTATGGATGATTTGAGACTCAGTGTCATGGAAATCTCCGGGAACACTGATTATTCTTGATGGTCACAAGCGCAGTCAGACAATATTAATAGACAAAACCAACCCGTTGTTCAGAATTTGGATTCCGAAGAATGTGGTGTTTCTCAGGATTACAACGCAACATTTAACACTGCAAGTGTCAGAGTAAATTTAATAGTCATAAATGTGAACTTGCATACCATTCACATCTCGCACAAGCCTTTGTTTCAACATTATTAAACTTGTTTGGGTTATGCTTCAACATAAAATCTGGAAAACGTTTTCCTCCTCCACTATCATGAAATGGAATAACCACTGATAGTGGTAAGTAGCTAAAAATACCTTCAATTCATGTTAACAAGAGTTATTATATGGGTTATTTCCAAAAATAATTGAAGTACTGAGCTCAAATGCGGCTTGCACCGTACTAATGAAGTACTACACTCTAGATGCATATGTTTCAGTTTCATTGCCAAATCGTTATAGTATGTACGTATTAGATTTATTTCATGAGCAATAACTCCATGTAAAAATTTACTGTTATTTACCCCAGCACAAAAAGTGGTCATTAGCAACGCTGGGGGGGGGGAATGGGACACCAAACATGTCAAAAACTTGAAGCGGTTTTCTTGCCACTAATTCGCCAGAAGTGCCTCATGTCAGGGCGGGAAAATATATTTGCCCGACATTGATTTATCATCTTCAATGATGCCTATCCTGAGCAAGCCTTTACTCGGAGCACAATTGACAAACTTGTAATTGAAAGCCCTATGTATGATACTTTAACCATATTCTATAATTAATCAAAGTTATATAAATGCTAGCATATAATCCTTTAGAATCAATGGGAAATAGTGTTAGGTAAAATAATTTGTTACTGATTATTTTGTTTGCCAAGCGTGTATTTGGAATGCAAAGAGTCAGAGTAGGAACAATCATGCTGTAATCTTCAAATCAGGATTCATGTATTTGAAAAAGAAATGTTCATTTAAATATTTGTATTAAATACGATAATCAGTTGAAAAACACCATGAAGGAAGTGCACAAAAAACTGGAGATTCGTATGAAAGGTACTTCATTCTGAAGCGCATGTTACCAGCAAGAAT